TATATAACAGAACACTAACACACACACACACGCATAAAGTAATACGATCGATCGACCATATAGCAGATCTTCGGATATCGCCTCTGTGTAAATGGCCGATTTCGAATGGCTTGCGCGCGGACCGAGTGCGACAGGCACACAGCAGCACTGCACCAAGCGAGCGAAGGAGAGTGAGAGAGAGAGAGAGAGAGATCGTTTAATGATCCGATCGTGAATCGCGAATTCGCCTGTACCTCTCTGGGTGCATGCGTGTATTATATATGATTCGTGTGTGTACGCGTGTACATGTATAGGGGGGGGGGCCAATTAGGTCGAACCAGTATATAGATGCAGTAGCAACACACAGATACATAAACACACGCAGATGTATTTTTAACGAGAGAAATACATATGTGTGTGTGCAAGTACACCTACATGCTGCATGTATTTTTTATTGTATATATCCTACCGGAGCTCGCCTGTTGATTTTTTTTCATCGCATCGTCCTCGTCGTCGTCATCATCATCATCTCATTGTCGATTTTTTCCCTCTCTCTCTTTCTCTCCTTCTCTCATTCATCGGCTTCGGCAGCAGAAGCAGCAAGTGTACAGCGCCGATGACGACTTTTTGCCCATATATATCTATATAAAACATACACAGAGCTCTTATACACTTGGTACATCGTCGTCGTCGTCGTCTTTGGTTTTTCTTGCGCTTTTCTATTTGCCCCCTATCGAAAGGATGATGATCGTGCGTATCTCATTTTGTCTCATTATAGATCGATAGACGTGTATATAAGTACGAGCGGCTTTTTGTTTCTTCATCTCTTCTGCAGAGACTACATACGCCGCCGCATGATTGTGATGTTTTCTTTTTCGCAGCGATCCGTATAAATACACCTTATAATGGTTGTCTCTTTATCAGGCTGCTTGTTTTTCTCTCTCTCTCTCTCTCTCCCTATTTCTTTCTAGGTAATTTTTTGTTCGTCGAACGATCTCAACGCATCTCTCGTCGATCGGAGCTTTCTTCTTAGTTCTTGCGCGCTCCAAACCCAAATAAAAAAAAAAAGGACGTATATTTCATTGACTCGTTCGCGAGAGAGCGTTTAAAAAGCGCATAGATGTTAATTGTGATTCAGTTTCTCCTCGCGACGATAAATCGCGCGTCTAACGGAGCGATCCGCATTGTACGACGTACGAGTTTCAGGGACTTTTTTTTCGAGCAAGGATCGCCCCCGCTTTTCTTTCATCCTTCCCCGAATGCAGCAGCAGCAGTGCGCGCGTGCGACCATCGATCAAAGAAAAAGAGAAAAGCGCGCGCATGAATTTTCACGGCCGCCGATCCATTCGCGTATACGTGTACGCGACGGAACCTCGTGATGAATGCGTCAGCTGCTGTCTGTGCTTTTTTTCTTTCTTTTTTTTTTTTTGTTCGTTGCGCACACGAGGTTCTTATATTATTACCAAGAAGGCAGCAGACGCGTATAAATATTTTATAGCGCGGGAGAGAAAGACGGCGCGCGCGTACAGGTGTACTTTTTTGCGCCTTTTTTTTTATCATCATCCTCGTCGTCGTCGTCGTCGGTCGTACCGATCGTATAAGAACGCACTGCGGTAGAGGCTCGAGCCATATTACGAAAGTAGGGTGTCGCGCGGAACGAGCTCCAAGACGACCAAGCCGACGACGGCATATTTTATATGCGAGGCTATATATCGCGCAGGTACACACGATCGTCGAGTTTCAACAATAGCCAGCGCCGAGAGTCGTGCTAAATAACTCGTCGTTTAATTTATTCATATCCGTTAATAGGCCGGTGCGATTTTTCGGCATCTCAATTAAGCCCTCGCAAATATATATTTGGCCATTCCGAGGCATTTTGCGTACGTAATATAATAAAAGAGCTCGCGCGCACTCTCGAGAGATCGCGAAACGCGCGATCGGAGCTGCAGTTACCGCAGTACATATAGAAGTAGAGATATATTCCCCTGGGCGCGTACGCGCACGGCTGTGTGTACACAACTCCATAGAGCTGCAAAAGAAATTCAGTATTATTACGAAATACTTTCGTCTCTCGAGTCTCTGTCTCTGTCTCTCGCAGACTTTAGCACTTTGCAATTTCCGCTCAGGGCGGCGAGCATATAAGTACGCGCGCATACGCATAAAGTACATCGGCCGAGCGGTACACCGCCGCCGATACAGCAGCCTCTAATGACCATTGCACAGGTGAACGCGAGTACGCGCCGCTCGATATATATCGTACTTACACACACACACACACACACACACATAAACCATATACCTTCAATGATCTCGTAATGCTACTGCGGATACTCTAATGCACGCGCACGCACATGTGCTGCGCTGTACGGAAAGTAGACAGATATCCGAAGGAAATTGTAAAACGCGCCTACTGGACCATACAGACCATGGGATATACGAATGAATCGAGAAAAAGAAAAACAGCGACCGAACGCACACACGTACCACCTCCCACTATATATATATAGTGGCATTATAAATGATTGAATGCGGTATATAGTACTGCTGCTGCTGCTGCTGCACACGTGCACTCGTGTGCCTGCGTACGGAAATATGCGGCCTATGTGTATATCTGGCGGCATTTAATATTGTTTTGTTAACGGCTCGGATTTTCTGAGCGCGAGCTTAAAACTCCTGTGTGGTACACGCGATCTTACACAAACGTAGACACACGCGTATGAAATACATATTAACGGCGCTTATGTAAAAAGCCAAATAACTTTTTGATCCGATTATGAAACAAAAAGCTGTGTGTGTGTGTGTTGGCGCGTTGCCGTGTAACGCTCATTGTTGAACGAGTTTTCTGCCGCGCTCTCAAAGTGGTGCTTGTAAGTACACACAGCTGCGCGAAACAACGGGGAGAAAAAGTAAAAAGAAAAGGACAGAGCGAGAAAAGCTTTAAAAACGAGCCCGCCGCCGTTTAAAGAAATATAATAAATTGAATCGATCTGATTAGACCCGTATGTACGCGTGATAAATCTCGCGCGCACGCGAGTCAAAGATTTTTCATTCCTGCGTGTGTCTGTGTGTGTCTATATATATATATGAAAGGCGTCGATGTCTCATAGCGATACATGCACGTATACGTATCCAAGCGTATGTGTTGTGGTGCCCGCAGTTCGATTTGTATTATATTTTTATTTGCACCTGTTTGCCTTTCGAATGTGCCGCCGCGCGCCACTGTTGTGTACCTGCATACACGGTACACACACACGCGCGCAAATATTACCGAACAAATCGACATTGTACGACATTGTTGCGGCAGCAGCAAAATTGTAAAAGCCCCGTACTTTATAGACAAGCCTAATCTTGATTGTGCCACCGAGCGAGAGAGAGAGAGAGAGACAGAGCAGAGACGTGTGCGCGACTGTTTTCTTTTTTCTCCATTACTTTTTTTTTTACTTGCACTCCTCGTCGCATTCTCCATTCGGGTGCCGCGACAAGTGATTCCGATACGCGCGTGTACGTACGTATGTTACAGTGTGCCAACGGGAGTCCCCTTATCGGATATATAATTATGTGCAGCTTTACAATGCTCTCGCCTCGTTCGATTTAGAAATCATAATTCAGTCACGCGCACAAGTTGATTTACAACAATGGCAATAATTCATTCCGATTTTTGTCGATATCTTTTTGTTTTTTTTTTCGTTTCCCCGCAACACCTATTCCATTCATTGAATTCTCTCTCGCTCGCGCGCGGCACCCGTAATCGATAATTAACCATACGACGAGTTATTTATATTTATGTATTCAGCGAGATCGGTATAGTCGGCTTATCGGTACCAGAGACGCCTAGCACCACGACTCCGATGCAAAATAATCGTGTGCAATAATAGTGCGAGCTCGTACGAAATGCAGCTAACGCGACTTTTCTCTCTCTCTCTACACCTGTGTGTCCTGTTGCTACCCACCAACCGATTCGCCAAAATCTCCCTACTCGTACTTACTCGATCCGCATCGAAATTCCCGCGACGAATTTCAAGGTATCCACGACTCGGGCCGTGGGTGGGAATTCGGCGAGTATCGCCTCGTTTGCTCCGTTGTTTTTTTTTTCTCTCCTCCCACTTCTTGTCCTTCGCTTCTTCCGTTGTTACTTCTGCTGCTGTTGCTGCTCAATCGGTATCGTTCGTATACAATCGCGAGAGCCGCTTTTTTTTCTCCTCTCTCTCTCTCTGCAATAGTCATAAAAAAGTAGAAAAAAAAAGTCTCGAGTCTCTCATCGGTACAAGGTACGTACCGGCAGTAAGCGAGAGATATACACGCCGCGGCTGCAGTCGCATGTAAGGACGGCCGGTGCACGACTTTCGATGACTGATCAGCCCGTGATTAGAAAGTTTTACCTACGTTTTCATACATCCAATATCGTAAGCTTTTTCTCTTTTTTTTCCTCTCTCTCTCTCTCTCTCGATGGAGAGAGAAACATTGCAGTCGTACTTTTACACACACACCCACATAACACAGAGAGAAAACACAAAAACATATTATTTCCCTTCATATATTTTCCAATAATGCACATACGAGTGTGTACGTGAGCCATATTCGCGGCGAGCGGCACACGAGTTATATCCCTCCGTAATCGAGCGATGCAATGCCCATGGCAGGCAGCACATCGTATCGCTCGTTTTTATATGAAAAAAAGGTTAACGATTCGACACGAATGTCGTGACTGCGCAGGTTATGTCGTTGGCTTGTTTATTGCCTCATTTGTTCGTGTACCCACTACGGAGCAGCTATACAACGACACGTGTGCAGACAATAAAAACGCGTGGGTTTCCACTTTTGCATCGGATCTCTTCTGCTCGTTGCAGTGTTTTGCAACTTATACTCCGCCGCTCGGCGTGATCGATCCTCCCGCCCCCTTTAAACGTACATATATATGCGATACGATGATAATAATACATGAAATACATGAAAATGAAGCTCATCTTGTACGAATTTGATTAACGTTTTGGTTCTTGTTTTGTTTGTTTATCGTTAAACAGGAGGAGACAGCCAGCAGTACGGTGGTAGCCGAGGCGTTGCGAGCGGGAGCCGGGGGCCCAGGCGGCGGGTGCCGCGCCAGCCCGATGACGATGGCCGAGAGCGCGCTCGAGGACGACGCCGCCGCGGGTCCAGCAGCACCGCCGCCCGCGGCCGGCCCGGCCAAGCCGCCGCCGCCCTCCTGCACCAACAACAACACCCTGGCGGCGACGGCCAATCGCAACCATCGTCACTCGTCGCCGCTCAACAGCAGCGGCAACAGCAATCATCGCAATTCGTCGAGCTCGTCGCAGACGCTACAGCCGGCCCGCAAGCGTAAGCGCCTCAGCCAGGTGCTGGACATTCTGCAGCAGCACAACAGGGGCGGTGGCGGCGGCTGCTCGCCCAAGGGACAGACGGCCCTGCCCTCGGAGGGCGAGGACGAGGACGTGTTCAGCTCGCCGAGATCGAGCCCCCGCGAGGGTAGCGTCGACGTCAAGCCGAGCTTTCAGCATCCCTATCATCAGCATCATCATCATCATCATCATCATCCCCACCATCAGCAGCAGCAGCAGCAGCAGCAGCATCACTTTGGCAGTCGCAACGTGTACCCCGGCTGCAGTTGCACCAACTGCTCGACGTCGTCGCCCCTGATGATGCCGTCGCCCACGTCGCCGCTGACCCCCCTGACGCCCCTCACGCCCCACGGCTTTCCCCCGCTCGCGCCCATATCCCCGTCGTCGTTCAACTTCGAGCACTACATGCACAGCAAGTACCTGCAGAATCTCCAGAGCAGCGGCAAGCGCAGCCACTCGGACTCGGACGAGCCGCCGAGCAGTTGGTCGCCCTCGGAGTCCCTTCAGCAGCAGCAGCAGCAGCAACAGCATCAGCTTCAGCAACAGAAACGACGGGACGAGCGTCCACCGCCGACGTCCTCGGCCAACTCGGTGCCGCGCAGCAACTCGCTCGAGTCCGACACGACGACCAACAGCAGCAGTCCCCAGGAGTCGCCCCTCGATCTGTCGATGAAGAGTCTGCTGGCGGCGGCGATGGCCAGGCCACCGGCGCTCCAGCTGCTGCAACCGGGCCTCATGTCGCGCGGCTCCCTCAGCGTCCCCGTGGTCCGGGGCGACGTCGCCTCGCCCACCACCAAGGAGAGCGTCGCCGTCAGGTACAACCTCGAGGTGTCGCCCGTCGTCGAGGAGATGCCCCCGGGCACCGACGTCGCCTACGTCTGCCCGGTCTGCGGCCAGATGTTCAGTCTGCACGATCGCCTGGCCAAGCACATGGCCTCGCGGCATCGCCGACAGAACGCCCAGGACAGCCAGGCCAAGGCCTACCTCTGCAACGTGTGCAATCGCAGCTTCGCCCGCAGCGACATGCTCACGCGACACATGCGCCTGCACACCGGGGTCAAGCCCTACACCTGCCGGACCTGCGGCCAAGTCTTCAGCAGGTCCGACCACTTGAGCACCCATCAGCGCACCCACACCGGCGAGAAGCCCTACAAGTGTCCCCAGTGCGTCTACGCGGCCTGTCGCAGGGACATGATCACCAGGCACATGAGGACCCACTCGAGGGACGGGGTCAAGGGCACGTCGACCTCGTCGTCCGCCGGGGCGAGCCCGGCAGCGACGGCGGAACCCAAGCAGGAGCTGCCCGAGGCCCCGAGCCCGCCCAGGTTCGAGTCGAGCTCGCCCGGCTACGAGGCCGCCTCCAATCACTCCGCGGCCAGCAGCTTCGAGACCAAATTGCACCACAAGCAGATCAAGACGGAATGACGCCGCCTGACCAACATGTTGGCCGGATGATACTTCCGCGAGCGAGCCAGATCGCTCTGGCCCTAATGGTATATAAATTGTTGCAGAGCTTTACGAAAACACACACATACACACACAGTGATCGTTGCCCGAGTCAAACTCGAGGCCTCGACGACATTAAAATGTTCATTATCTGGTCAAGGCGGCGACGAGTCGCAAATAAACGAAATACGAAATCTACGAGATCGTCGGATGCGCGCGAAAAAAACACGGCGAGTAGGAGAAATGAAAAAAAAAAAATATCGAACAAAGTCACATCCATCTCGGGGAAAACTGTTTTGGTGTGCTGTGTAGGCTGAAAGCAGGATTGATTCTCTCTGCGTTGCTTCCGTACCGGATCACGAGAGCTTCTTCAAGATAGCAAAAAAAAATAAACAAGTACCTTAACTTCGGCGTGTTGATGCTGAAGAGGCATTAAACTTACACACTACTCAAACAAGCGAACAAAACACACGAAACACTTGGTGCTAAGTGATTAGCTCGACAAATTTGTAAATATTATATAAACTAAGTAATTATTATTATTGAATAAAAATGTATGTACTCGCGAATTCGAATGCAATACATTCTTAATTGTTTTCGTTGTTTATAATTGAATTAAGCATTGAAGAAAAAGCAAAAAAGTAAAAAAATGAAAAACGTAAGTTAGCGGAAAAAACAAAAAAAAAATGATGTATTTCGTATACAGATACACGTGCATGCCTTTCGTGAAAATAAAAACAACGTCGTGTCCTTTTTCTGCGTAACTATTGTAATACACTCAGAACACTCACATAAATTCGTATACATCACCGAGACCGGATTCGGGGAAAAAGTATCCAATGACGTGCCAAATGTATCGAGAGGTTTCAGTTTTAGTGAAATGAAAAACTGATCCTCCTCTGCATGATGTGTCTGCTATGACACGAAAAAAGAAGAAATTCGCCCTAAATTAGCCGATGCTTTGAAAAAGCTTCATCTAAACTCGACGACTCGATCGTTTGTTTGTTCGATATTAACCTTGGCGTTCAACGTAGATATTATTATACATAAAAAGAAGAAAATAAAAAAAATTCAAGTTTCAATGTAAGTTGGTGAAAAAGAGCTTCGCGTATTCGCTGAGCCGCGTCGATCGGCATAGTATTTCTTTCGGTGAAGAATATTATTATAAAGTGTAAAATTGGTTGTACAAGTTCGATAAAAACTTGAAAAGCGTTTTTTTATTATAAAATATAATATATAGTACTATTTTTTCAAAAAAAAATTGTCAAAAAATCCTATACATGTATTACGTTGCGTGTAAAACGAAAAAAAATTTTTTGAATGATTAAACGTTTCGTTCGTTGATGAGTGAGAGTTACTTTTTCGTAGTTTTTAGTAAAATTGTAATTTAAGATTGTCGGCACTTCAAAAGTGTATGTTATAAAAAAAAAAAAAAACAAATTCGAAGGACAGTTACCCATTGATTAAAGAGTTGAGAAAAAAAGCGTATAAACGTATCAATTTTTTTCGTACAAAAAAAAATTGAGAAAACTTTGTTAATAAGCATTCCGCGTGCGAGCGGGCCCATGTTATAAAATCGTGAAAATATTTTAGTTACGTAATTTTTGAAGCCTGTGTGCATGTGCCGAGTGCGTGTGTGATGTGAGAGCGTGTGCATGACCGCAGAAAAGCTGTAAACCGGAATTTTTTCACAAGCGACAACACGAAAAATGTACGAACCCATCGTCAAGTATTTTGCGCACGAATCCATCTTGCCTTTTTCATATACGTAATATTTCGATGTTAAATAAATAACATATACACAATTGACGTTGACATAGTTTATGTTCTATACATGCTTCAACGATCGATTATACTCAAAGTCCCATTGCCGCGTGAAGCGCGCATAAATCTTCAAACGAGAAAAACGAAAGTGTTCCTGTCAGACACGAGCACTAGGCAGTAAATAAAACAATAGTATAATACAGAATAAAAAAAAAGATGCTTTATTAATTAACCTGTGGTTGTCACTACATTATATATATAATATATACTTAAAAAAAAATATCACATTAAATAATAAACTCATTATTTATTTATATATTATTACTATGTGTGCGAGAGTGATTCGAGGCTCTCTGTATATTTTTGTACAGACATGTTTTTCTAGTACGTACCTTGTATATTAACTCCAAGTGTTGTGTATACAAGATCGAAGTGATAGATTTATTAAAAAAATAAAAAAAGCGACGAAGGACTGGTTTTATTTAGAAAATCGAATCTGTCGTGAGTGAGGATGATTGTGCGTGAATTAAAAAACAAAAGGAAAAAAAAGCTGAAAGCACAAAGAACTGGTATTCGTTATCTCGTTGCCAAGTACTTAGAAAATACGAAACATTTTCGAGAAAAGACGCTTGCCAAGTTACTTGCCTTCTTCCTATATTATATGATTTAATCCGAGCCCTTGATCAAATCGTGAAAAGTTTTCTCTTCGCTCCGAGGAGCTGATAATTTTCTCCCTACTTTTGATTGTTTTAGCTAAATTGTGTGTGTGAGTGTTTTGTTATCTGATAAGAAGAGCTCGAGAGAAGAAGCGAGAAATCGATGATACTATACACGTTTGTTGTTGAATTTCTTTTTAATCTCGTTATATTGTAAATTTGATTTTTCTCCGATGTGATTGAAAGCAACGATTTCTCGCGGGGCGCGAGCGAAGGGAAAGGTTTTAATCGAAGGCTGGATCCTGTGTGTATGTGTTTGTGACGTATGGAACATTAGTATACTACGTGTGTGTATACGAGTGAATGCGAGAGAGTGAGAGAGAGACAGGAAAATGCACATAGTACGAGACAATCCGTTTTTGTAATTATTATTATCGATACTTAGCCACGAGAGCACATTAGTGACATAATTATTGATAATTTTATTACTAGTTATTACATTTATTAGTTGTCATATCATCATTATTATTATTACTATTATTATTATTATTATTATGTTAGTTACGTTATTAATCAATGTTTAACGCTTCTATTATTTATTTTGTTATTCTATTAATTAGCGAAAAAAAGAAAATAAATCGAGAAACAAGTTCAAATTGTCATCACATTATACATAAACTCATATTAAATTTACGCATCATTATACATTAGTCGAAATAAGAAGCGCCGCCACACTCTTCGAAGTCATGGATGTATAAAATTTTGAGGAAAACTCATCTCTCTCTACTAATCGTTGTTTTTAATCATGTATAACTTTGTTTTTCGAAAAAATTGCGCTTCGATGCATTTACGTCGTTTGTTTATCGTGATATCAAGTTCCTTTTCTTATTAAACAAAAATAAATAAAAAAAAAGCACAAAAAAGATCGAAAACGTCGAAGTTCGCGCTTCGATTGGCGATCGACCACGCGTGACAATTTGAGCGAGTTAATGTGGTATTAAAACGAACTTGAGAGAAAGAGAGATAGAGAGAAAATAAAATGAAGGGCGTTGACGAAGAGCCGAGATGAAAAAATTTTCAACTACTGCGAGACAGACAACATAAAAAAACAACGCCTCTGTATCTATATTGTCTACGTCGTATAAGATTTATTTATAAAAAAAAAAACATATGAAAAAAAAACTATGTTGATGCTCAGCAACATGTGCCAGAATTGAAAAAATATAATTTTTTAAACAAATATTTCTGTTTTTACGTCTCATTTTTATTTGATCATCCATTTGCATTATTCTGCATACCTATCATACATACCTACCGCATACCTGCATGAAAAATTTTATTTTGCTTCGACCATATACATCGTAATGAATTCATTAGTTGATTCTCGTAAATTAACGGAAAGAAAAACGTCGTGCCTTGTGATCATTACGAATTATGAGATTCGCACGTTGCATCGAATAATAATCGTGATGGACATAAATATTATGTGATCTCCTTGCACGGCAACGCTGAAATAAAAAAGTGTCTATTATAAAAGTGCTAACGCATGGAAAAAAATATATATAATCAATTTTTCAATGGTTGACATAACAATTTTGTTATTTATAAATAATAAAAATGTAAATGATATAGTCGTACTAGCTTTCGTATATCACCGATAAAAATAAATACTATAATAAATATATGCGTATATATAGTGCGCAATGCATTACAAGAGTGAGTTTCTACGGTAAATTACCTTGAGTCACCCCGGTTAGTTGGTTACTATATTTGTATAAAAAAGCTCTGGAAAGACTGAAAGTTTCATTGAGAAAAGACTAGTCCAGATGTAGTAAAAAAAACGAAGTTTAGAATCGATGCAGAATTAGATAGTAATTAATTGTTGACGTAGCTTAGTTGATCCATGTTTATACAAAGTATAGCATTGACCGTTGGAAGTCGATTAAACAAACGTATACATATAGCTCGCAAGCCCAGTGTTATTTATGCAAAATTATGGGAGACTTGAGATAAGGACTTGAAAATGTAGACCAACGCGTAGTTATCAATAAAATTTATTTGTTCGTTTCCGAAAACCAAGCAGTTATTTTGCAATGACAGTACTTAAAAGTAATGCTGAAGCTTTTTTTGAAAAGAAGTAAAGAAATATTTTTCAAGTCTATATAACGACGACTGTTGTTTCTTGATGAATAAGAATATACGTTTCCTCGTTCGCGTCAGAAAGCAACCTTTATTTTTTTTTCTAAAATTGCAGCATAAATTCTCGCGCGCGCGAGCAGAGCATACCTTAATGTACACGTTGTGTGATACCCGATCCGCAGTGGGAGAGAGAGAGAGAGAGGAAGAAAAAGAGTGAGACAGAGAGCGCAAAAAATGTTTATTACGCACAACTTCTTATGCTTTGTACTCTGAAAAGATACGTATTAGATAAGGGAAGGGCACAACAGGCAGGCGTCGTTGGGGACTGGAACCCACTAATTATCGACAATAAGCCGAGGCGCTTCTGCTTCAACTGCTGCGAAACTGCGAGAGAGAAAGAGAGATACAGAGCGAGACTCTCATTCCGAAACCTGCGAGCTTTGAGAGAAAAAGCAGCCAGAGATGCGCACATTTACGCACACTTGGGTAGAAGTTTATCGGATGGCATTTGTCTCTGAACGAAATCTCTCTCACTCTCGGGCCGAAAAAGAAAGAGGGAAAATTACAAGTTTGCGGAATATCGCGAGGGAGCGCTGAAGATGCGCTGCATCGAGCGTCAATATCTACCTGTTGATTCGGTACCGAGTGCGCGCGCTGATTTTCATTTCTTTTTTTTTTTTTTTTTTTTGCGAGCGAGAGAATTTACCCGCGCAAACCTGTGATTAATAAATGTATACGTGCGCGGCATATAAAACGATCTGCTGTTGTGCTTCTGAAATTGTGCATAAATCATCGACGGGTTGCCCGGATTGCACGGAGATTTCGCTGAA